TCACCGAGTCGATATTTTCATAGTACACACACGCGACGTTCACTAAAAGTTCGAATGAGGGCAATATTGCATTTTATTGTTTATATATTTAACAAAAACTTACAAAATCTACGAGCCGAAATGTTAAAATTAGTTGTGGCCGAAAATTTCTAACGGAAGTGGAAGTGGAAACCGAACGTAACCCAGCAACAGAAAAGCTTGTGCACATTTGAGTACTTATATTAAAACTACAAATTTATTTGCAAACCTTTTCAGTTAATGTATTAGTGACCGTAAACCGCAACTCGTTTATAACTTTTCTGAGATATTTTAAGCGAGATCTTTAAAAAACGTTCCAAATACGCAAAGTTTTTCCATATTTCTTGTGATTAAGTCATTGTGAGTAGTACCTTTCAATCCCTTGTGACTTCGTTGCTTGAAGAAGAAGAAGCTTTGCAAACGGGACTTCACTCCATGTAAACAAAAAAAAAGTTTATTTACCCGCGAGATACATCAATTTATAGTGTAAAATTTANTGAGAACTTACGCAGCTGTGAACAAATGGCCTGGTCCATCATACGAAACCATCGCAATTTGAGTACCAACAGTCATGAAGTGCGTCGGAAAATCGAAGGAATACAGGAGAAATTCGCAGTCGACAATAATCTCGAGTATGCTGAACATCTGGGGCGCCTGTGTGATGAGATCATACAACATCCACTTTGTGTGGAACACTATGAAGTTGATGTACATTGGTCTTTGCTTGATTTTCTTCTGACGCTTGCCTGCAATCCTACAGGTGCTTTGCGTCGCAATAAGGAAAAAATTGATATATTATTGCAGGAGCACAATGAGATAGCTCAAGCCGAATGTTTGGAGAGCGAGAATGACCATTGGAAGAAAGTGCTGCAAGAAGACTTTATACCACTTGAGCGTTTCAACAAAAGCTCTTCCGATTTAAGCGTTAGTTTGTAAAATGGCATATTTTTATGGTACTGAATTAGTTTATATATTCATATTCTTGTTTTCTACATTTCCTCACTTAGTCTTGGTCTGATGAATCATCAGAAGAGTTGCTTGCTACTTGCACAGAAGCGGAAATCGTATCGCAAACTTCTCACGAACTTCCGGAAAATCCGCGACCTCCCCGAGGAATGGAAAACATTAAACCTCCTCAAAAATCGCTTCCCTACTACAAGTATGATGGCTCATCAGCAGAGCAGCGACTACTAAGTACGGTGCAGCATTCTTGGTGGGAGAAAGGTATTAGAACAGTACATCCTCAAATCGAAAGCACAAACAAGGAAGCGAATTTCGCTTTAGAATATCATCGACAATTAAAATCTTCAACCAGCCATCGCATACGTGGGGAACCCGAAACAGCTACAGAATATAGTTTGATGCGTGAAATATTTTGGATGTTTCAAGTGCCGTTAACGTGCAAATTTTTTTACGTAAATGAAGAAAAGATTACAATTAGAAAAAATGTGACCTTGACCAGTACAAGACCGGTAAGGCGCGATTTGTTTCGAAATTGAAATGTTTAGTAACTATAACTTTTATATATATTTATAAATAATTTATGTAGGTTGCTATTGGTTCAATGCTGGAGGAACAGTTTTTGCCTTATATTCGCATGATGCATGACCTACGCAACTTTAATAAACTCATATATTCCTCCGATGATTATACACCGCCAAACACACTAGAACATTATGCGGCCAGTTTGGAACTGCTACTAGCACCAATATGGAATGAGTTGCTTGCCTGCGAGAGAGATCTACTGCTGCAACGGAATTGCGAAATCAACACTGTTATTAGATTTCATCATAAACTTCGTCCTACATTTGCTAAACTTTCATATCTGCATAACATACACCAGCAAGCAGTACAGAATATACGCCAATTACCGGCACATATTTCCAGCGTTCATTTATTGGCTGCTTTAATACACAGCAACAGAATTGCAACCACTGCAACTGAAGCTAATCTAGCAATGTCCCTATTTCTTGCCTCAGTGAAAATATTTTTGATTATTGCAGACACCTGGTGGACAGAAGGTCGTTTAGATGATTGGCATAATGAGTTTATTATCGAACGGGTAAACGAACAGGGGCAAAGTATACGAATCCGAGAATTCGTTAAGAATAAGGAGAAAGCATTTTTCGTGCCAACGCAGATCTCCAAAATGATAACTGAAAATAGTTTTTTCCAAATGCTGCTGGAACATTCACTTGAAGCTGGTTGTACACTTAATCTTTTATATGAAATCAATCGTATAGGTGAGTTGCGCAGCGCATGTGATGCAATTGAAGGCAAATTGTATGCTGTATTCATCGATGATGTACTTAAATATGTACGCATTTTACAAAAGCAAATTATTGAGGCTGTAAGGGAGGCCAAAGAAAATAATAGACTGGAAATTGGAGGCGATAGCACGCTTAGAAATGATAATCACGATGAAGTTGACAAGGCGTGTGATGATGGTGTAGGGGATGTTCCAAAAGAGGTAGCAACGGAAGAGAGAAAGGCAGATGTTTCAAATAATTCTCATGTAGATGATGAAGTACTGCAAAAACTCACTACAAATGATGACTTCCTGCTGCTGGCATTTACTATGAATATGAATTTGACTGAGCCCAACGAAAAAGTTGGCGATCAATGTGATGCACGGGTAAAGTATGCTGAGAAAAATGAGGAACCCACTGCTTTAGAAATCTTCGAGCAATTTGAAGATTCTAAGCATATACTACCGCTAGAAGAAGTGGTTTTAAATGCTTTGAGTCGAATACTCAAGACCCGTATAGCATTCGCAAACTCATTCGTGATGCGTTTGTATAGTGAAGAATTTGACATTTTAAAACATTTGCGGAATATACGTAAAATATATTTGCTAGAAGCGAGTGATATTATGCATCAGTTCTACAATAAGCTGTTCAAGCAGGTATTAAAAAAAAATCATTACTTCTAAGGCAATTCAAGTGTGCGTATGCTTCTATCATACCCATATCGTTTTTTACGAACAGATCGAGTCTGGCGATGAATGGGCTAATGCCTTTTTACTTACTACCCAATTGGATGATATAATTAGTACTAAATTTTCTGATATGTCTTCACTATTTCGTATAGAGATCAATTCTGCGTTTCGTTGTCAAACCGTCAAGGTAAGGCACTGATTACATTGCTCCTTAAGTCATGTTATTCTTTTTTTTTTTCCTAGGTCTATGAAGCTGTTGATGAGTTAGCTTTGTCGTATAATTTAAGCACAGAATTAGCACATATGATCAAACAAGAAGATTTAGAAGCTTATAACAAAGTGTTTCGCTTCTTACTCAAAGTCAAATGGGGTCTTGCGACTCTAGAAAACTTACCATTTCCACGATCGCACAAGCGTAAAATGCCTTACGCGCCATTCGAAATGGTCGATTTGCTTATGCGTCGCTTAGAACAGCTACGCTTTTGGATGTTATTTGCTATACAAAGCATACATTTTCATTTAATGACACATGTGCTACAGTCAATGGGTGAGCAGTTGGATGAAAAGATTGTAAAATGTACAAATCTTAAAGAAATGGTTACTGTGCATCGCTCGTATATGAATACGGTATGTGAGCATTGTTTTCTAGCAGAGAATTACAGTTCGTTGAAACTAGGCGTTGAGCAGGTATTTAGGAAGATATGTACTACCGGATGATTTATCAAACTACTTTTACCGCATTTTTAGCTCTTAAATTTGGCATACATTTTACGCTTGGAGTGGAATAGTTGTGTAAAATATATTGAATCAAACAGCAATCCCTTGGCGATAGTGGACCTCAACGACAGTACTGATGAGGCCGATTATGTTACAAACTCGCAGATCGATGCCATCGAGTTGACATACATACGCTGTCATCAATATTTGGCAAATAAATTGAATAATGAGGTGTATATAAAGCACAATGCATTTTGTAAGTGTTAGCGTACGCTAATTTATATGCGTAAATTTAAAAGATATTATTCTTTCTACTCTCTTGCAGTGCTGGGGCTTAGTACCGCATTCAATACAAGTTTGCCATATTAAAATGGAATACATTTTCATTTTTATGCAGTGTTTTAGTTGAATCATAAGTTATTGTTGAAATTTTCAAAACATTAATTAATGGAGAACTAAAATATGTGAATACTTTTTGGTATTGCTTTAAATAATTGAAATACAAAGTGTTGAATACGTATTCGACCTTTTTTAATTCATAATTGGACCTCGAAAAAAAAACCTGAACCTGCGAAATTCAATGAATCTTATGCTTCATATTCAGCGGAGATTCGATCAATGAAGTATATCACAAAAATGCTTTAAACAAGAGAAAAGACTAGATACAATCCTAACTTGCTTTTGTGTACCAAACTACTTTCTTTCAATTTATGGAGCTCTGAACGACGGACACAACAACTGTTTATAAACACATTGTCGCCTTGGTTACCTTTACGCATGCATAAATATGTCATCGTTTGCACTATCAAAAACCAAAAACATTTTCGGGTTTCGGAAAAAAGGCTACCAAAAGGACATTTAACAAAAAATATAAATTAAAACATGCAATTAAAATCTAGTTTGCAAGGTATGTACATAATTCTCACAATTTTCTACAAATATTTTTGAAAACTCACAATCATGTTACAATACTTACATACATATGTATCTATTTGTAGATATAACATACAATGCTAATCTATGGCTACAAGCCGCTATGCTAATTAACGCTTACGTTTCAGCAGTTTGGGGAATACTATACGGCTTTTATATACTCTTTAACGTAAGTTTAAGCAATTTTTGCTCCCAGAAATTATGTTTCTGTCTCTATTAAATACAGTTAGAAGAAATGCAGGATCTCTATGGGCGCTCGATTATATTAGCTTATATATTATCACTGCTGGCTGAGATTTATCGTTTGCGTGCAGGCTATAAAGGCAACTTGATGGCAGAGGTGAGTGAATTAAATTTATTTGAAAAGCATATATATACTATATATATATATATCTACCAAGAAACTACTCATCAAAGTCTTCAATAATTTTTTCTATAGATCAGTGAACTGAGCATCTTTCTTGTAACAACACCGCTTATACAATTACCTATACTCGTGTTCCTCTTTCTCTCCGTTGAAGGGAATTGGCAACTTATATATGTACTCATTGAATTGATATTCTGTCTAATGATAGTGGAATTTATTGCCGGTGTGTGGACTTGGCATATCTTCGCCAAACATCAAAGTGAGTTGCATAAATTGAAGCGACAAATCGCATTGCAAATACGTAATGCCAGACAGAGAAATGATAGCGATGATAAAACAAGGAGTGTGCCATAGTTTAAATGCATAATTGTTTATTTTTTATACTAATTAACAGAAATAAATTAAATAAATCGCATGTCCGCGATGAAATTACTCAACTCTAATTGAATTTCAGTTTTAAAATAACGAGACAGCAATATTTTATAAATTTGGACTAAGTCCGCAATAACAAAATTTAATACGTTCAATATAAACGTAAAATTCTTAGGCCTATTATAAATATTGTCCTAATTCAAGATAGCTTCGGTTCAATAGACCCAGCTCACCGAAAAGTGCATAGAAGCCTCTTCATTAAACTTATCCAAAATCCTTTTTTTTAAGCATGCAACCAAAACAAAACACAAGTATTATGCTCACTAGTTCCCACGACAGTCGGGTCTACGTAACCGGAACGACCCAGATTTATATCTGGTCAAGGACTGTCACTCCAGCAACACTCCCCAAAAAGTCTTTGGGGAATTTGTATGCTGCTACAACAACAACAACAACAAGTATTATGCGGGTTGTCAGCAAATTTCCGCCCCCTCACACCTTTGCATCATCCAAATTGTGTTTTTTTTAGCAGCGCGTCAATCCGATTCAAGTGACTACGCATCACTGGCAAATAGTTTTCCAACACTTGCAGATTCTCATCGTGCGCCTCACCCTGCCCAATCAGTTGTGAACGTGTTGGCACCCAATTGTAGATTATCTGTAACAAGAATTAAATCATAATTTACATGCAAAGAACCAGTAACCCATATCGGTGCCGACCACAATTATTGACCTACTTTTATTGTGCCCTGTACTAAGAAACCATGATATGGCTTCAGTGTACGCTCATATGCATTCTGCAGATGCAGCTTCAATGCCTCTGTTGCCTGTGTGTCATTGAAGATATTTTCGAAAAATGTACAAATCAATTGTAGGCCACGCTTTAGCCATAATAGCGCATTCGCCGCAAAATTATCTACATTCACATTTAATATTATCAAGTCCTCAAGGTAAGCATACAATGCTTTGTCTTTGTTGTAGACCTTTGTTAGCTTCTGTAAATGTTAATTAATTTTTATTTATTTCTTATTATAATTCGCCAAAGGGGGATATAAACAAATAGGCACTTACCGTAATATTGCCATTCATATCATTTACCACAGGTGTAAATAGTTTGCCAAATGTCTCTATAAGTGAGAAGTGGAATTGATCAGTGTTTTTTTTAATCATTGTTACTTACATAAGTATATATATATATATAACGAATTGATTGCATTCATTAATTAGTTCAAGTAAGAACTTATGAAAGAAATCCCTGGTGTTTATCGGGATGGACTTCAGTAAAACTATTATATTTGTTAGGGCGAAATTAAACTAGTAAAAGCAGAATTTTTAAAATATTCAATGATGAAAGTTCACAAATGATTTCTTCTAAAATATTCTATTTAAATTAAATTTTCTTTAAGCTGGATAATTACAAACATCTTTCTCTACCCTCTCTAATGTAGCATATCGCACATGTTAATCAAATTGCATTAACTCAAAAAAGGAAAAATCAAACTACCATATCAGAGCTTATGTTAGTCAATGGCGTGGGGAAGTATTTACTTTCGTCAACTTTTGTTCAAAGAGGAATACATGTTCAGTGAACATTTTTAGTACATAATTGCCAAAATTACAGTTTTTGAGTTCATACACTTTTGAAGAATGAAAGTGCATTTTTTTCAAATTTTACATGAGAAAAAAACTTTCCAAACTCATTTTCTGCAAAACTTTGACAAAAAAAATTATGTATTCAAAGCAAAACCTGGCTCCATGTGGATTGGTAAAATTCGATGCAGGGACCGAAAACAACCCTTAAATATCAAAATTTTTATTTTTATACCATTGCATAATCGCTTTTTGATTTTAATTTTTTTAGTCAAATTTAGTCGTAATTTTGTAATTTTTCAATCAAAAATAATCGTTTTCGATAATTTTTAACCGTTATAATGGGTAGTGAATTTTTTGATCGAAAAACAAAAAAAAAAAAAACGAACAAAAATTTATAAAAGCTTTGTTCCACACGCTTTCCGGGCTGTTTCGGTAATTAGAGAGTAAAAATAAGTTACTCCCTTACAACTATCGAAAATTTGTCAAAAAGTGTCAAAAGTGCCCAGAGCGTGAGGAACGCAAAAAGCCACATTTCGTGTCCGGGATTTACAAATCAGCGGGAAAACAGTGATTTCATGTGTATTTCTCTTATGCGGCGGATAAAATTAGCAAATACCTACATTTTTTTAAACTTTAGTAAATTGAATTGGCACATTTGTGCCCGGAAAAAAGTCCCGGCTGTTTCGGGCAAAAAGAAAAAGAAATTTACGATCCAAAACTGGAACGTATTCACTCTCTATTACTCATTTTTCTAGCGTGAGGAACGCTTTCTGGTCTGTTTTGGGCACCCGTGGGATTCCGCGGGCACGTGTGGAACCAATAAAAAAATCAAAAAATAACGGTTAAATTTGATCGGAAAAACTGAAATCCAATTTTAAGGGTTAAATATGATTTTTATTATAAGGATCATAACCGCTACGGCTCTTGGTTCGAAGTTAATAAAAATTTTTTGTGATCTCTTGAATTTATCAGTATTTCTGTGCTTTCTTTGGGATTGGCATATCTTCCATTCACTGCTTTGAAATGGGTAGAAATAAAATAAATAATTTATTCGGTCTTTTTGGAAACGCTGTACTTTATTACAATTTAATTTTAATTTTAATTTATTTTTTGATGCTGGATCAAAATGTAAGTTTTCATAAAAAGTGAACTTAGCAACTTTTCACTCTAAGCTAGCGATATGAGTGGACATTAGGGTGGTCCAAAAAAGTAAAGATTACTAAAGTAGTAAGGGTTGAAGACAGGTTAGAGACACGAGGCCCTTGAGAGTAAAGGCTTAGTTATTGCATAGGGCCATCGATGTGTACATGCATATACATATGTATACATAATTACATATCAGGGCTGCACATTAACGTTAAATTTATCAATAAACGAAAAACCAAAATCGTCTTGGTTTTTTAAATCGATAATGTTAACATTATGGCTGTATTTCTTTATTCATTCTGAACGTTTGGAATGAACTTTTTTGTTTACTTATTCTTTAGAACGTTCCTGATGATATGTTAACGTATTTTTCAAACGCATTCTGTTTATTCCGGCTGTGAAATGGGATTATCCGGAATGTATAAAGAAACGCAGCCAATGTGTTTAATAAAAAAATACATTATAGATTATATCTCACTTACCAATAATAGTAACGATTTCCGTAGCAGCTTCAAGAAATGCCTCTGTCTCAATTTTCTCCACAACTGCTGGTGGGAAGCCTTTAAGGGTTTTAAATCGTATGCGTGGCGCGGACATAATTCTTTGTCTAACACCCTTGAATGTATATGTTTAGTATATAATATCAAGACTATCTAAATTCGCGCAAATATACCAATACATATATACAAAATAAGCAAAACAACTCCTTTTGTTTTATGCGTTCGCTGTTATTTGGTTATGACAAACCTCAACCAACTATTCAAAACTGCATACAAATATCCATAATAGTAAACGCCCAATATTTAGTTCGAATTCGATTTTTAGTGATTTGACTTTATCTTATCAATTATTTAGTGATAACCACAGCACTGATAAACGGAAATGAGTGACATAAAAAAGGCTGAAAGAGATTTTGTATTAAGTCTTGCTGGAGCAGTTTGCCCTCTAAAAGTGTTTCAAACGTTGTGATTACAGTTGAACTATGTAATGTAAAATAGATTGTGAGTGGCCTTTACAGTAGACGATCAATCGGCAGCTTTATTATTACGTTTCTTGCTGTTCAAACGTTTTAACTGCTAACGTGGCTGTGCGTCAGCTTGAGTAGAAGTGTGACTTTAACGACATCAATGCGGCAACTAACAAGCCAGTCACGGCACAGTCGGTGCTAACATAAGTTTAACTCTCTTCTTTTAAAAGCATCAAGGTTTTCAAAGAAAGCTTTTTCCATCTTTTTGTGGTTAATGTGAAGCAGCACAACAATGCCGCGCTTAGCTAGCTGGGTTATAATTGTTGTATTTTTATAACGTTGATTATTTTGTTCCTTTTAAATAGTGCGTGATTGCTGTATATGAGTATGTATGTATGTATGTATGTTTATGAGTATAAATATTATAGCTCTGATTACTGATTTGTTTACCACATAGAGTATATTTTCTTTTTAGTTCATTGTACTGCTTTCAAGAGACGGCGACACAGTTATGTACATACATACATACTATATGTAGGTACATGCACTTTTGCAAGTGCAATGAAATACTTTCTTGCAAATGCAAAGGCTCTCAAATGAGTTTTTAAATAAGTTGCTATTAGAGCATCAGCGACGCAGGAAAGTGTTGCTGAAAATAAGCAAAAAATATACTGTGAATTTCTTATTTGCATTCCTACATTCTTACAAGTGCAGGTGATTATTTTAGATGATGTAATAAAGTTTCACTTATATGAGTCATTTGTAATTATAAATACGACGCCAAGGTAAACAAGGGGTTAAAAAAATGGTTTAAATGTAAAGTAAAATCTTGCCGACCATATACCAGTCCATAAATAAAAAGTCATCAACGCTATAAAAAAAACTCAGCAGTATTATGAAAATTCGGTAAAAATTGCTTTTATGAAATATTTGCACATACCTATGTAAGTGCACAGGAAAAAAAAACGTATTTAGTTGCTGTTAACTGTTAATTCCATGATGTTCCACGATTAATTAAGATTAGTATTTAGGAAAATAATAGAAAAGTTTTTAAATAAATACTTATACATACATACATATGTATATACATATATAAATATGTAAATACTTACCATTACCTAGAAACTTGCAAAATACGACTATGCAAACATTTGAATTTTAGTATTCATTAAATCGCTTCGTCAACCCCGTCTTAGTCTGCACGAATAAATAGTGATTTTCCTCGTGTGCCTCTTTTGGCAAATGAAATGTATAAATCTCAGCGATGTCTTTGCCCGATTGCAACTCGTACCAGTATTTAACTAAACTATTGTCCATGCAACGCACCTCAATCAAGCACAACGGATGATTGTCTCCTGCGGATATGACACAATTATTAACCGCATCATACGTTATCTCCGCATCGCCCGCTCTCTCTTCATCAGCGCTTCCATTGTGAATTCTGAACCATTTATGGTGCGCTAAAATTACTGCACAATTGCGGGTAAAATAAAAAGAATCCCTTGTTTTTTGTTCGTGGTATTTGTCGAGAAAAGAATTGGTCGTGCGCTTGAGTTGTGTAAAACGGGGACGAGTCGCTACTTGAGCGATCACTTTTGGCGCCACGTGCTGTATGATTCTATCTGGCAGATGTTCCGTCAGATTATCTAAGGTAAAAACTCGATTTACATAATCAAAGCCATTGCCCATCACACCATCTTGGGTGTGCCCCAGATCAAAGGTGTGTCCGATTTCATGCACTACAGCGCCTAAAGTTGTGGCATAAACTCCGCCGTATGTACGTCGATAGTTGCTGTCATCGGGCAATTCCGTTAGATCTACTTCTTTGGTGCTTCCAAAGCAAGTTTGTATTGCATTACAAGTCTGCGGCCATGCAAATAAATAGGCTGCGCCAAAAAGTGCCAGGCCCCCACCTCCCAGGGCTGCGTGTCCCCTTAAATGAAGGCGTATATTTGCATATGAAAAGTCGCCTGAGGCAGCTACTGCCGCACCGTCATATCTAGTACAACTAATGAATGCCACAAATTTCAGTTTGGAATCTTCACCCCAATTGCTGGAGTTAAGTAGCTCTTGTGCGAAATTTTGCCACAAGTCTTTCTCGTTCTGCTGCCAAACTTCTTCGCACGTTAAATTCGACTCAAATACTTGGCAATCGCCGTTTATCGTAAAGGTACGCCTGCCAAAACCCGCTGTTCTTAGCTGTTCGGCATAGATACATTGAACCAAACGTAAATTCAAATTTATTTTCTCACAATTTTCATGAACAAGCTCCACGGGCACACTTTGTTTAGAACATGTAATATACAATGGTTGCAAACGATAATTTTTATTGCTAGTATCGGCAGCTTTATATAAAATCTCCAATTGATGCAAAGTATTGCAGAAGCTAAAATCTAATTGCAATTGAATCTCCTCTGCTAGTGACACATGTTGACCCAGATCACATAACAATTTGAACTGGCCGTTTCTTGATATTGGGGTATGCTGTTGCAATACCCCTGCACTATCTGCATGCACCAATTGCTGTCTTAACCGCAATACAAGTTGCTCCTCCACACACTTTTTTGTTGTATTGTTGGGCAATGGAAATCGTGGCTGACGGATGTGCCCCTTAATAAGAAGTATTGTATGGTTAATGATTTCTCCGTTGTCTAGATTATCCACTTCTATTCTATGCTCGCATATACACCTATTCATTGCCCTTTTAATTAAGTGCTATTGCACCTGAAATTTTTCTGATAAGAAACAGCAAGAACTAGTTGAAATCAGCTGTGATTGCAATGGAAAGAGAAGGCAATCAGCTGTTTTTTGTTGTAGTTGCATCGGCACTGTTGCCAACTTCATACTTTTCGTACTAATGGGTCGATTATCGATAGCAAGCAAACTTCAGTTGCGTTGATAGTAGCCAAAACGGTATTACAGATGGCAACTGGCAACTGTCAACTGACCAATGCAGTTGCTATAAAGTGGGTATACAGGCAACTACATTTTTGTGTTTGCTGGGAAGGAGCGAAAATTGAAAAGTTTTTTAAATGTTTTACTTTCTAATAATTTAAACGATATTAAAATTTCGCCTTGCAGTTTGCTTTTACAGAATATGGTGAAAATAACAAAACCATAACTTGAAATTTTAGTTCCCGTGGGGTACGCCCTTTTGGCGAAACAAAAGCGAACACTGATTGCAAATTTTTTTCCGTTATCAACTGAAGCACCTCTTTTAAAACTACCCACACATCAAGTTTTCCAAATTGAAAAATCGAAAAGGTCCGCAAGCTTTTTGTGAGCGGAGGTATTGAAGTTGAACAAAGTGGTTCTCTGTTTATTAACGAATTATACTACAGCTTCTTTTGGAAGTCCTCAATATGCTTTGAAAATGAACACAAAACGATAATAAAACAAAAACCTTGAAAGCATTGTTTATAGTGCACGCGGTAGCTCCAGAGGATTGAAATTATCCTTTAAATGTCGCCTGATTGAGGCCGCGTTTATGCACTTCTATTCCTCTTAAACAAATAATTTTGATGAACTCAGCTTTATTTTTAAAAGTCTTTTGTTTAATAATATAAATTTACTCGCACAGCTTCTTTACAGCCACTTGCCGGTTGTCGAACTGCCAAATTCCGATTATCGATAACTCTACAGCAACTGACAACAGTTGCCATTTGTAATACAAATTTTCTTTCCAGTTGCGTTATCAGCTGGCAACCGAACCGTGGTTGCGTTGCTATCCGTAATCGACCTATAAATTTGGTGTTTTTCTTTCTTCAAAATGCGAAAATTTTTGAGTTTGCTGCTTAATGTTTTTTTTTTAAGTTTGAAGGCCAAAGAAAGATTTATTCATCTTAAAAAATGGAAGCTAAATTTATAGATTTGTAAGCAACTTTACAAAAATGGAAACAAAATCATTCCAATGGCAACCACAAGTAAAAAGAGTATCAAAAACAGGCAGGGGGCATGTAACTCCATTATTTTTAGTGCTAACACTTAAAAATTTTGCTTAGGGCGATTTTACGCAGACGATCATATATATGACTGGGTTGTAAATTGTTGTGGGCGATGTCTGTGTACCTGTCTCGCATGTTTTGGTTGCGGCCACTATGGCTGCATCTGGGGTGAGCGGCTTGGAAAGAGCACTCGATGGTCCCGTACCTACTTCTATTTTGCATGCATTTGTTGCGGTTACTACGGCTGCGTCTGGGGTGAGCGGATTGGAAAGAGCACTCGATGGTCCCATACCTACTTCTATTTTGCATGCATTTGTTGCGGCTACAACGGCTGCGTCTGGAGAGAGCGGATTGGAAAGAGCACTCGATGGTCCCATACCTACTTCTATTTTGCATGCATTTGTTGCGGCTACTACAGCTACGTCTGGGCAGAGCGGCTTGGAAAGAGCACTCGATGGTCGCATACCTACTTCTATTTTGCATGCATTTTTTGCGGCTAATACGGCTGCGTCTGTCTGCGGCTTCAAAACTGTTGCACTAGATGTTGGCAAGTCACCTAAAATATGTATCGCTTTTTGTTTTTCCTCTTCCAGTTTCTTCAACTGCTGCTGAGCGGTTGTGTATATACATGGAACGGCGCCGGGCTGCAAACGTCTTCTGGTTTGTAGTCCTTTGTAAGAAAATATGTACATATGTATGTATTATAACAAAAATGTTGAAACTAAAAATAGTGGACAATTCTTACCCAAAACAAAAGCTAACTTCCCTATAATGTGTTCCTCTTTAAAATGGTCCATACAAATTCTCCACGTTTTTGGTTTAAAATCTTTAGATCGCCGGCAAAACTTCAACCATTTTTCTTGCTGTTTAGGATCCTTCGGGAAACGGAAAAAAGCTCTTCTTTCAGACGGGTCCCTGCGTTGGCTTACACAATTCCACACCGCACACTGCATTGCAATTTTTATTCTATGTAATTTATTTCATTTGATGAGCGTATTTTTGTATTGCGTATTTTAATTTATTCCATTTGGTTGTATGTTAATACATCCTATCAAAATCTGTGAAATCGCAGTTTCAGAAAAAAGCGTTGGTAGGGTAGGGCAGTCAGTAGCAAAAATACATCGATGTTTTTCCTCGCATGGATACATCGAAGCTTACATCGTTATTTGTCAAAGCATCGGAGGGCGTACATCGATGCATCGATGTGCATAGGGTTTTCCTCCACTAAGGAAATAAAACATTGAGAACCTTTTTCGGTATGTAGTTTTATAGCTCATAAAATTTTACTATAACAAAGTGCAAGTCAGCCAAAGAAAAAATATTAAAAATTAAAGCAATCGAAACCAGCACTTTATTATACTAACATTTTATGAGCTATAAAACTGCATCTTCCTCTCTATGAACTTCAGACAAAGCGATGTTTGGCCGTTCGATGTACTTATGATGATGTCAGTTTACAGAAAACATCGATGCCTCAATTCCTCGATGCATCGACAATTTATACATCGAGTGGAAAATTGTCGATGCAGCGAAGCAAAACATCGATATTTTCGAGGCATCGATGTTTTTTCGGCATCTCTTTGGGAATTGAGGTAACGGTATGTACAATTCGTCAAATCGTCGCTGAAAGTACAAAACCGCGTATCGTCGTTCTGCAAAACCACGGAACTGACATTTTTTGCCAAAAATTGGATTTGCTCACACAAGCTCTTGGCTCAATTCTTATCCAATCGTCCTGAAATATACTAGCAGGAAATGCGATTGCTTTATAAATAAGAGCGCCATTTTGAAATATGAGTGTTTTTGCTATCTAGAAAATAATTTATGCAACCTCACATACGCGGTTTTGCATTTTGTTGATAATGTGAGAGCTTTTCGCATGAAATTTGAAGCGCCTGAAATGTGTATATGGCACACCGTCTTCAAAAGTCACAACTCAAAATTTAGTACTTTTGAAATTATGAGCAAAAAATGTACACAGAGCTTTTATTTACCTTTCAGGAAAAGCTGGAACAAATTTTTGTTAAAATGTTTTAAAAAAATCTAATGGCGTTATCGTTTCTACGGAAAATCCTACCTTCTTATTGTCCTCTAAACAAGAAAGAAAAACAACCGAGCAATAAAAAGGCGACATTTTTTGTAGAAACGAAAACGACATAAGTAAAATCGCCTTTGCCCATATGATTATCATGTGCTAAGAAATAGTTTTTCGCGTTTTCTCACAAACGTATTATTTTGAGTTGTGACTCTTTTGACTTCAATAGTACCTATAATAATCCAAAAAATACAAAATTGCCACTNTGCATTGCAATTTTTATTCTATGTAATTTATTTCATTTGATGAGCGTATTTTTGTATTGCGTATTTTAATTTATTCCATTTGGTTGTATGTTAATACATCCTATCAAAATCTGTGAAATCGCAGTTTCAGAAAAAAGCGTTGGTAGGGTAGGGCAGTCAGTAGCAAAAATACATCGATGTTTTTCCTCGCATGGATACATCGAAGCTTACATCGTTATTTGTCAAAGCATCGGAGGGCGTACATCGATGCATCGATGTGCATAGGGTTTTCCTCCACTAAGGAAATAAAACATTGAGAACCTTTTTCGGTATGTAGTTTTATAGCTCATAAAATTTTACTATAACAAAGTGCAAGTCAGCCAAAGAAAAAATATTAAAAATTAAAGCAATCGAAACCAGCACTTTATTATACTAACATTTTATGAGCTATAAAACTGCATCTTCCTCTCTATGAACTTCAGACAAAGCGATGTTTGGCCGTTCGATGTACTTATGATGATGTCAGTTTACAGAAAACATCGATGCCTCAATTCCTCGATGCATCGACAATTTATACATCGAGTGGAAAATTGTCGATGCAGCGAAGCAAAACATCGATATTTTCGAGGCATCGATGTTTTTTCGGCATCTCTTTGGGAATTGAGGTAACGGTATGTACAATTCGTCAAATCGTCGCTGAAAGTACAAAACCGCGTATCGTCGTTCTGCAAAACCACGGAACTGACATTTTTTGCCAAAAATTGGATTTGCTCACACAAGCTCTTGGCTCAATTCTTATCCAATCGTCCTGAAATATACTAGCAGGAAATGCGATTGCTTTATAAATAAGAGCGCCATTTTGAAATATGAGTGTTTTTGCTATCTAGAAAATAATTTATGCAACCTCACATACGCGGTTTTGCATTTTGTTGATAATGTGAGAGCTTTTCGCATGAAATTTGAAGCGCCTGAAATGTGTATATGGCACACCGTCTTCAAAAGTCACAACTCAAAATTTAGTACTTTTGAAATTATGAGCAAAAAATGTACACAGAGCTTTTATTTACCTTTCAGGAAAAGCTGGAACAAATTTTTGTTAAAATGTTTTAAAAAAATCTAATGGCGTTATCGTTTCTACGGAAAATCCTACCTTCTTATTGTCCTCTAAACAAGAAAGAAAAACAACCGAGCAATAAAAAGGCGACATTTTTTGTAGAAACGAAAACGACATAAGTAAAATCGCCTTTGCCCATATGATTATCATGTGCTAAGAAATAGTTTTTCGCGTTTTCTCACAAACGTATTATTTTGAGTTGTGACTCTTTTGACTTCAATAGTACCTATAATAATCCAAAAAATACAAAATTGCCACTACTTTATCTCACTTAAACCAAAAATGTACCCTGCAAACCATTTTTTCAGAGTATTCTGAATTGTAGAGATATTTTAACTAATTCGTAAAGATCTCATCCGATTTTTTGCAGAATTTTCTAAAATGAAATGAATTGTGCACACTTCGATTCTTTTACGAAATTTCGGAAGAAAATCGTTAAAATAAATGAAAATAATGCTGCTATGTGAAGAATTTCTTGCAGAAGTTTTTCAGAATTTTCTTTATTTTTCGTACCGAAATTTCTTTACGAGTTCGTGTCAACCACTTCATATAATTTTCTTTGAAGATGCGTAAAAAAGCGTTACAGAAATGAGATACTGCTAAAGATTTTGGTAAGATTTCGGGAACTTTGGTTTGCAGGCTATTAATTTTTACCATGCGAGTATATGTGTGTAAATTCAAAACTCTAAAGTCGTTTATCTCGAGTTCTACTTTTTTGAGTTATGACACTATTGAAGTAAATGAATGATATTAACTTATTATTTTGCTAGTAGCTACATACATATGTATGTATATACATACATAGTTATAAACTCACAAGTCTAAAACTGATTTCTTTTCATACCTCCGCTCCTCATTGTTAGGTTCTTGACCTCAAATGTGCCCGAAAGATAAGCAGCGCCAATGCGAAACATATGTAATTGTGTAGTTCAAAAAACAGGTTCTTTCACTACTCATCCACAGCTTCACAATTAGAAGTA